CATAAACAGCAGGGAGCAAAGGACACAGGCAAGCCCATCCAAATGCCACCCGTGAACCCAAGGGCGATGAATTCTTCAGCTGAGATTCAAGGAGCTCACGAGAGTGACTTCCCTGTCGTATCTGTGGCTGTACCTGGGTCATAAAATCCAGCCTGGAGGTGGGTTTGGGCCCGGGCCACCTTCTGCCCTGCTCTCTGCTAGGAAGAACTCTTGAGGGTAAGAGCAGGTGGTGTCTCTGGGCTTATGGAAGTGGAGGGGCTGTAGGAAGTGCTGGGATGAGACCCATTGGAGACCAACTCTGCTGTCCCAGACCCACTGTGGTTATGCAAACCCATGCAAAGTGTGGCTGGTATTTTTGGGATCCACCTGCCCATGTGCTGTCTGCCATGGAGGCAGAGGACCAAAACACCAAACAGCATCTGGACTGCGGAGAGGGAGGCCACAAGGAGAGGAAGCTCTCACCCCTACACCCCCATCGCAGTTGCCTGTGTTATTAATGACCTGCAAGGAGGGAATACAAAAGTGCAGACATAAGGGATCTCTGGGGTCTCTGCAGCTCTTGCAAAAGCAGAGTTAAAAAGCCCAGAACATCCTTCTCAGGGCAGCTTCAGAGGTTTCTCTCTCTCTCCATTTCTTTTTTCTTTAAATTTCTATGTCAGTTTCTCAGCTGTACTTGCATATGTGGTACACATGGAGGAGGAAAGAAAAAAAAAAAAAGAAAAAGAAAAAGAAAAAAAGAAATGTCTGGCGCCAAACGGGGCCTGCTGCAGCTTTTAACAGTCCTCTCCACTTACTATTAAAGTGCAGCTTTGCCCAGTGAAAATGCTGCTTTATTGCTGCAAAAATACTTACCAAAGACACGGCCCTTGGAGCGCAGCCCTGGTGTCAGCAGGGAAATGTGCCGCAAAGCAGAGGGCCCCGGGGTGGTGTGAGCAGCAGCCAGGTTGGGCTGTCCGTGCTCTACCAGGGTCACCCAGCCCTGCTGGTGCTGGTGTTGGGGACCAGCATCCCCGGGGCACAGGGAGCTGGCGGATGGATGGGTTTGGGTTGTTGTGGGAAGAAGTTACGGGCTACGTGGTGCGCACGCTGAGGTTTTCCACTAAATGACCCAAATCCCAGGATGATCCTCCCCATGGGTTGTACTTTGCATGAATTACCTGATAAAAAATGATCCTGGAGAAGGATGGGCAATGCTTGGCCTCGCCTGTTGCACAGGGAGGGGCTTTGCTGGGTATGGCATGAACCTGCATTGTGTTTGAGAGGTGCCCAAGAGCTGGGAACAAGCCAGGGCTGGCAGTGGGCAGCAGGGTGTCTCAACTCTGGTTGCTGGAGCTGGCCAAACCCCTAGGGAAGAGCGTTTGCTTTTCAAGAGGAGTTTTCTTGCCTGTGTTACACATCTCACTGACCTGATGGCATCCTCAGTCACCTGTGATGGCTGTCTTCCCTTTTAAACACAACAGGAGGCTGGGAAATGCTTCGTTACCAAGGCTCAGCCTCCTGGCTGCACAGCAATCTGTGACCAATATCCATTTTAAGGCATCCTGCTTGACCCTACAGAGGTTTCCTCACCAAACACGATGCAGAATAGAAGGGAGAGGGTGCACTCCTTTTTCTTTTATCTTTTTCTTGTCTTCTGTGCAGTTTCAGCATGTAGTTTCATCTTGTATTTCCCATCTCAGATATGCACACCACTGCTTATGCTCTAACCAGCTCTGTAACCATTTCATATTCATCTTTTCCTGCAGTGACCCTTTGGTGAAGACCTGAACTTTTTAACAGCCACAGTCAACTAAGATACATGTTTTAGCTGAAGTCATTTCAAAAATGGAAAATTAAAATTAGAAGTCACATTTCATTGGGGAACCATTAACTGCAAACCATTAAGTGGTGGCAGGACTGGTAGAAATAGGGAAAGAAAATAATGAGCTTCAGGAAAACTATTTTTTTTTTTTTTTTTCTTGCCAGCATTGCCAAGCTTTCAGAACATTTTGCCTGTGCTCAAAGTTACCTTTCTGGGGAAAAGAAAAGGACCCCCTCTTTTCAGAGCAGTCTCTGGGAAACTGAGAGAAATTGTATATTCAGTCACCCCGGCCACGCTGAAATTTCTGTGGCAAACACAGGCAGAGGCAGAGGTGAAAAATATTGGGTTGGAGTGGAAAGGAATGAGCGGCTGTTCTCGGAGCATAAGAAAATAACACAGGTGTTAAAGTGCCCACCAGCGCCAACCCAAACAAAGGGTGGTCTGGTCTTAATTTTCCTTCGAGTTACAAGGGTGTAGTTTCTAGCTACAATACAATCTCTTTCCATAAAAATTTAGCTTAGGAACCAAGATGATTTTTCTTTATTTATTTTTTTTCATCTGAAAAAATTAACAAGTCCAGGGATTTCTGGCCTCACGTGCTTGGCAAATGAGGTTGAATTTAATGGCATTAGCACTGAGTGGACAAATGGGACTAATTTGCAGCATAGTGGATTCCAGATATGTAAAAAAATTGCTGGTGATAAAGATTTATGAATACTGTGTTCATGCTGATGAAGTGCCTGGTTGTTGCTACTTATAATTTAATACTAGTTCCCCTTGGATATAATTTTTTTTTTCCATCCTGTGGCCTTTCTGGGAGCAGGAAAAGAAGGGGAAGAGAGCAAAGGGATTTGAAGAATGTGCGCGGGGTCAGGCTCCGCATGTGCTAAAGAAATAACGAATTGTTGGAGGCCACAGACGTTGTTAAATCCCGCTCAAAATGTCCAGTACTTTCGTCCCAGCTGATACCATCAAGCAGCTGTTGGGCTGTTTATTAAATGTCCCGATAAAGCTGGGTGAGGATGATTTCTGGCCAGGTTACCACGCTGGTGGGAGATGCTTTCCTCCCTGGGGAGCCTGGTGGGAAGGGGTGGCTGAGACCCCTCATCCTCCTGAGCCCTCATCCTCCTGAGCCTCCAAATAACAGAGGAAGGGAGCAGTGGGGGGTTCCCTGCCTCAGCTTCCCAAGGCAAGGAGCGAATTCTGCTGCCAGACCCTTGGCAGGGTTTTTACCCACTCGTGGGGGGGACATGGTGGGAAGAACAGTTCTTTTTATTCATTTATTTGTTAGCTCCTCTGAAGACATTTCCATCAGCAGTTCATACCAGGGAATGGCAATGTTGGCTGGCTGTTGCTTCAAGTAGCATCTTGAGGGCATAACACCCCTCTGGGCTTCTCTGCCTCCAGAAACCTGTTGCCATGGTGGGTGCGATGCAAAGCTGTTTATGGGGCATTTCTGTGGCTCCTGAAATACCCTCTCACCTTGAAGGAGGCCTTGTTCTTGTACCAGTGACTGATATTCTCTTTTTCTTATCTGACTGGTCTTTGTGTTTTTGGTAGGAATTCTGGGGTCCGGCGTGAGGTAGCTATGCCAAATTGACGTTTCTTTAGGCTTATCAAAATTCATGGGGTGAGGGGAAGAGGGCAGAGGGAAACAAGAAATGTCAGAATTGAAGAAATGGCAAGTAGTCAATTTGCTTTATACAGCGTTCCCTTTGAACTGTGGCTTTGCCGTTTCGTATTGTGCTATAAACAGCAGATAGCTCACGTGGCCTTCTGACGGCTACTTTACTCACGTAACTTTGTGTCGTATGCCTTGTGATCTGCCTTCATAAAAATCTGACGCGATTCTTAACCATTTCCCCTGCATTTCTTGCATTTATCCTCACATATTTTCACACTTAGCGTTTCTTGGCACTATTTACTTGGGATTTTACGTACAAATCTTCAAGGACTGTAGCAGTTGTTTAAACAGCAACCCCAAAACATCATCGTTTATGTCTAATAGGGAGGGATTTCCCATCTTCAGAGACTGGAAAATCCTTATGTAACATCTGGTGAAATAAAGCCCAGGAGGGAAAAAGCTAGCAAAGCAGGCAGAGACAAAGGCGAAGACAGAAATTGCCAATGTCTTTTTCCATTTATCTGTAGGCAACTTCTGCCACCATGCCTGCTTCATGGCTCTGTCATTTGATGAGTTGAGTTCAGGAATCCATACTGCTAGGCTTATTTAAATACTTTGGGGATACATGTCAGTGTAGCCAAGGTGTCCAGCCCAATACGGGGTTGGATCCATCCTGTACCTGCAGCATCAGAGGTGCTTGGTTGACTAATTTCCCTACTCTTTCAAAATTGGGCACACGCAGAGGTTAGTATGCATGTTAAGTGGGGTATATCTCCATCTTTTCCAAAGAGACAAAGGGCAGTTTTGCAAAATAGTCGTTTTTAGTACAACTGTCTATTGAAAATTCAGGACACTGAGGAATCCTTGTTGTGCAAAATGACCTCCAACTCACCAACCCAAAGGGAACCAAGTGGAGAAAACACTCCTGTATTTTACCCAGTGAGAAAGATGTGAAGCCTGTTGAGAAAATCATCCTTAAATCAGATTGCAAAGCTGTTTTATACCCCTAAAGGTGAAGATGAGTGCTTGGTGAGATTGTCAGATTTCAACAGGTGATTCACTTCCATCAAGATCAATAGGAGCTGCCAATGCAATGCTATTGAAAGGTCTGCTAAGTAGAAACTCATTTTTTTCCAAGCTGGCCTTTAAATGATCAAGAATCTAAATCTCCCTGAAAATCCCATCCCTAAGGAGCTAAGTTGCTTTTCAAAGTGGTACTTGGGAGAATAAGTCATTTTTCAGAATGCCTTCTTGAAAAATGTTGCTGTGGATCCTCTTAGATGCCGCTTGTAGCAATAATATGTTGGCGAGGGATCATGATATCAAAGGAAATTTGATTATCAATTAGTCGAGCATGTTCTGGGGCAGATCAAGTGCAAAGAATAGCTTTATTTAGCTTGAAGTATCTGGTAAACATAAAGAGAAAAAGGGCCATGTAGTTGGACGGGTCTTATCTCAGTATCTTTATTTACATTTTCAAAGAACACTGACGCAATAGAGCTACCAAAAGAACTGCTTTCCATCAGCCTGGGAACAGAAACAAATTAGTCTTTAATAGCGTTGTGTGAAAACTATGGCAAATGTTATGTAAAACTGTGCAAACAGAATGTTTGTGTTCTAGTTCCAGGTCATTTAGTGGGCAAAAAAAAAAAAAAAAGAGAGACATTTTGTGTGAAATAGTCATGAAACGGCTTGTTATTATATAAGGATAGGAACTGCTAGATCAGACTAATGGTGACATGCCCAGAACCAGATGCTTCAAAGGAAAATGCAAGACATCCCAGCGTGGATAATTATGAAATAGCCTGACCATGGGGGAAATTTCTGCATAAACGACTTTAGTCCTAAAAAGCTATGTGTTTATATTTCTTCCAACAAGGTTTCAGTGTGATTTCCCATGGATACAAGGCTTATGCAACCAGTGCACTGCCCGGCTGTGCAAATCTCTGCCTCCCTCCCTCTCTGTCCACTCTCCTGCCTCCAGCACCTCCTGAATGCCTCTGATCTCTGCCACCTGAAGCAGAGGAGAGGAGGTCTCACAAATAGCCTACAGGTTTCATGAATATAAGCTGTTCCTCAGTGAGGAGAGACGGGTAATCGTGCCAGCTCAGGGCGAGCTTACACCTTAGAAACCACATGGGAGAGGATCTTACGAGTGCTCCAGCTGTGGGAAAAGCCTCGACTGTGGCTCTCCATCAACATGAGATGCAAATCCCAGGTAACCACTGGCACTAATGGCACTGCCTCTTTTTCCTATTGATTATAACTTTGGATATCCTCAGGATCTGATGTAAATGCTTAATTCTTTGTGACTGAGCATGTTCTTTGCTTTAACAACATCCAGGGCCAATGAGCACTGAGTCAGGAGTTGAATAACGTCCTGGTAGGACGTTTCCTTTTGGTACCTGTGATCTACAGATTTCACTGTGACTTTTCCCATAAAGCAGCTGGGCTCAATTAGTGCATGATGCGCTTTATGGGCCAGTGGGCTAATTTGTAAATTAATTAGAAATAAGTGGAAGGCAGTCTCTCATCTCTTGGGAACACTAGAATTAATTGTTTCAAGGTGTTGAAATCCTGCCTCTTTGCCATGCTGGACTTTTTGACCCTTCTCTGAAATAAAAAACATTTTAGAAGCCTTATGTTCCTTTTTTTTCAGACAATACATTTCCCATTCAACAGCTGCAGAGTCCTCAGGACAGAGATATGGAGTGTCTTCAAAGCTTGGCTGTCTTCTCAAGGACAAGGGTCACCGTGAGCTGCCCTGTACCAATCCATTCCTCTTGCACTGCCCGTCCCACATCTTCTACCATTTGCTCATAGCCTGCACAGCAGCTTGACTTGAGCAAAGCCTCCTTGGAGGAGATCCATGGTAGAGTCCTTGTGATAGTGGCTGCACAGGACAGCGTTTGGATATTGGAACAGAAGTTATGATAGGAAATACTGATGTGGAAAGGTGGATCTCCTAAAACAGAAAGAGGCATGTATATGTTTCCCACAAAATTCAGCTGCCAGTATAACATTGCTAATGGGGGAATTTATTCGTAGATATTTTGGCAACTCCTCAAGGTAGTCTCATTTCAATTGCAAATCTCTCTCTTTACTTTTCATTAACACTTGTGCAAGGAAAGTATTGTTCCTAGGAGCACGATTGGGAAGGCACTATGACACACCCATCTGTGGGTTGCTTGGTCTTAAAATAAAGTAAGTAAAATGAAATCAGTGTATATGTCATCTGGAAGCCCAAATGATTTACAAGATGAATCATCTGTCAGGGACAGTGAGGGCTGGCAACCAATATATCATGTCTCAGATGGTGGATTACAGAGTTCAACTGCTTAGCTTAACTGCAGACCACAAATATGTAAGAAAACGGAGATCTGGAGCCTGATTATACAAGACATTAATTGAACAAGTTCAGAAATTTACACTGTGTACGTTTCTCCTCTCTATGACCTGAGCTGCAGTGTTCTTTCCGTTTCCTGGAGATGTGGCTTTTAGTCGCTGAAGAAGAAGCAATGAAATGGAGGCCTGGGAGCCCGAGAAGAGGAGCAGCAAGGTCCTGTGAATCCAAAGGGACAGAGGCTCTGCTAAATTCAACAGAACCAGTGGCCGTTCTTACTGGTTTCTTGCTGAAATGATGCTCTGGGGAATTTTGCTGGGTTTCTGTGAAGCTGGAGAGCGCTGTGTGTTTTTGACAGGACCTGATATTCTGATGTAACACCATGCTTCTCGGAGCAGCCATATCTGCACCCTATTTTCTACACCTTTTCTCTGGAATTTAGGCATTCATGTCCACGCACGCATCTTACTTCACGTTCCAGTCTTCTCTGCCATGTCTACAACACATCCTTAACCCTCATTTCCACACTGCCGCATAATCTACTGGAGGGGTGATTTTTTTTGGCATTTGGGAATGGTGTTAACAAGGATCAGATGCTGCCATTGTTTATGAAAGAGCTAGGTTTCCTTTACCAGCTGTGGCATGCGTCGGTAAAAAAAATTCCGGCAGTGTGGGCATTACAGTGGAGTTCTTGTGTTTAGCAGGTGAAAAGTCAATGCTCTACCTGTAACGAGGTTTGCTCATGGAAAACCCCTTGAAGTTGTTTTTAGCAGCGGGGCATTAGTCACCCCCGGGCAGCTGCTGGCCGCTCGGCGCTTCTGGCTCGCGCCGTGCCGCGCGCGAGGGCTGTTTTGAAGGCTGCACAGTGTTAACGGTGACTCTTGCTTTGCCTCAGGTGTTAAGTTTAAGCACATGGGTCCTGGTTATTTTAGGAAAACATGAGCTCATGTTCCAGGCAGCCTTCCCTCCGGTGAGAAGTGGTGCGTTGCAGTCCTTTCCTGTGCACGGGGCCGGGGCCGGTAATACCCTGCTTCTGGGAGGAACACTGTGTGCCTTGGGATTTCTACCAGTTGGGTAGATTGGGAGTCCTACTTGGGTTTTCTTTGGGGGTATGGGGTAGTGGGACCATGTAGCACCATCACGGAACACCTCCAAAAGTAGCATGAGATGACACAATGGCCACCCAAATTGTCTTGTTGCACCCGGTGCCCTTGAGGGTGGTGACCTGCCCACACGGGGGTCTCGCTGGGGAACTGAGGGTGGGTTTGGAAAGTATGAAGAGGCTGGTGAGGATATGGATGGAAAGGCAAGCATGGCTGAGGGCTGGGAAAGAGATGCTTTCTGTGTCAGACAGAGATCAGGCGAAGAGGAGACAGCGGAGAGGTGAGATCATGGAGCGAGGTTTGAGGAGTGGAATCTATGAGAGCATCAAAAGCACCGTATTAAGTCATGCTGCATGAAGGCTAAGGCGGCTCCTAAAAAATGGGAAAACACAGGTGGTGAAGGAAGAAATCAGTTTAATAGACCTGAAAGCTGGCTTGCCCACAGAGACTCTGGCTCAGAGCAATGATTTTTGCCTGATGAATGCTTGCCCATCTCCTCCACTCCGTGGCTTCCCCCCATCTCCAGCACTGGACAAGCAGGGAGGGGACCCTCAGGCATTGCTCAAGGAGGATGCTGGATTTTTCAGCTGGTGGACAAGGGCAAGGAAAGCCCAGTGAGGACAGGTCCTTCACCAGGTGCAGGGTTGGGGACCCATGTAGGTGCATGGCAGGAACCAGAGGAGGGGAACCACCAAAGGATGCTCAGCTGTGTCCCTTCTCTGGGACCAGCCATCCCTTTCCTTCCTCTGCAGCTCAGACAGAGTTCACAGAGAAGAAAGGCTGCTAATACAGACTGTCGCCACTTTATAAGCAAATGTCTTGAAATAATACATACTTAAAGCTTTTACTAATGTCCTTATCATATGGCGGTCTAGGAGCGTGCATAGATTGAATCGGATAAGCAGATCTAGGAAAACTCTCTGACGGAGAATTCGTTTAAAGGTAGCTCTGGGGGAAGAATTTGAAATTCAATTTCTGTTATAGTTTTGACAAAAAAAGAGCAAATATGAAAGTGTTCGGAAAGATACAGCATTTTATTTAGACATCTTGTGTTGAAATACTGTGATGTTTTCCTTGGAGGATGTTCAGGGCCAGGGTACCCTTCATTCAAAATACCTAGGAAAAAAAATATAACATGGAGAAACTGAAAGAAAACTGCAGAAACCAGGCTGAACAGAGAGTCTTGTCTGACAAGGCTACCTGGGAGAGGAAAAGTGCTTGCTTCAGCTGTTGAATAATTCCTTCAGTTTTACTGCGAAGGCTCTCCTGAGTTGCTCCGATAGCACAGTGGGGTCTTAAATCTGGCCAGGGGATTCTCCTGCTGCAGGGAAACCCCTGTGTGGCCTCAAGCCAAGGAAATTGTTTAAGCGAGGTTACAGTTGTGTTTAGACCAGGAATGTCCCTCCGAATAGGGCTGAAAGCATGTGGAAAGGCACAATGTGGCTGAGAAGTTCCCTCCTCTGTTTCCATTTTGTGGCTTCTGCAATAATCTGTCAAAGGAACCTTGTAAACCTCTAAGTAGTGGGTTTTTTAAAACATTGCTGTTATGGCAATAGTTTAATGCTGCCTCCTTTGTTATGTGTTAATGGTGCCTTCCTCTTAAGTCTGCTAATAAAAGGAACTTAAACCTCAACAAGAAAGTCCTTGTAAAGTTACAAATCAAACACATTTGTGCTGTTTTTCCCGATACACAAGACACGGGTGTGGGTCTGCACGGGGGCTAACCTCAGCTGCACGCCCGCCTCTGTGCTCTTGGATCACCTGCTCCGCGCATGGGGCAGAGCTGTAAAAGAGTATTTTACACAGTGAAAAGTCTCTTAAACTAAAGGAGAAGGTGAGAAAAAGGAAGGCACAGGGAAAGCTCAGATAAATGAGGAATTACAGTGAATATTACATCTGGAATCTGGATGGAATGATTCATCTTCTCTATCACACGTTGAGCATCTCTTTAACTTTTGAATCCACCCATGGAATATATTCACAGAGAGATTTTATCCCTGCAAGCGACTTCTCCAGGCTTGTTCACAGGCCTGTGGAAAACTCTCCTTTCAGTTATGCTCTTTAGTGCTATATTTCTCCATAAATAAAATAGGAAAAGAGGGACGTGAGTAATTTTCCCAAACTGGTGTGGGTGTCACCATACATACTGCAGACGCAGCCCTGTCCTCAAGGCACTAGGCTGCTGCTATCTTCATGAGGGGGTGACGAGTGCACGTGGATAACTGTAGAGTCTGGCCATTCTTGGAGGAAGCTGTGGTGTAGATGACATCTTGAGAAGGCTCCCAGCTTTATTTCCTATGTTTTTTAGGAGCAGTTACCTGTTGGGAAAGTAAATACAAGAAAAAATATAAATGACTGGGAAGTGTAGGCTGATTTCTGGAGACAAGTGCAGTGGAAAGGACAGTAAGGCATTGGACAGACCTAGAAAATACAAAAAATAAGCCAACACAAAAAATACAAAAAATAACCCTTCCTATTGCCAAAACACTGTGCTTTTATATAGAGTGTACAGGTAACCTCATGGAGTCATGCAGAGGTGGTTTTTGGCTCACCTGGCTTTGTCTTTACGTGCTTTTGTACAAAAGCAAGGGGCCATCCCCTGCGAACACCGTGGAGGTCAACACCTACTTAGCCACCAAATGGCAGTAGGCCACTTGAAGTTGTCCTGAGGGTCAAATCCAGTCCACCTCATCTGAGATATGCTGGTGAAGCCTGTGTGTGGCCCTGGAACTGTTTTGGTGTGAACATGAAGTGCCCTGACAGCACTGCTACAATTACCTCATCCATTAAAAGCACAGGGGCTGTGAAAGGATGGGAGGGGGATAAAAGCACAACCCCTACATCTCCATCTCCACGGTGATGCTGAATGTGGGCTGCCCTGTCTACACCTCTGACCGCTTCCCCCACCCCCCAAAAAAGCCTGGGGGCTGCTTGCAAGCAGCCTGGTGCTGGGCCTGAATGACCAGGGCTCGCTCCCCGTGGGCAAGCCAGCTGTGTTATGACTTTCAGCCATGTTTTAATCGGATTGATGGAGTGGCCGGAGATGCTGATGGGATTAGAGCTCAGCACGATGACGAAGCACTCGGGATTTGCCCTCTCGCTGATCCCTGCAGCACACCAGTGGGGAACGCATGCTCCTGATTTACAAGCCTTTACAAAGCCCTGCTTTGAGGTGGAGCACCTCCTAAAAGACACGGGCCCAACCCAAACACACCTCATGGTCTGCAGCCAGCGCTTGGTCCGAATTTCTTTTGACCTTGCCCCATGTATCATGCATGGTCTCAAGCACTGAGACATCACCGAGTGGGACCCAGAGGCACTATAGGGGCAGTGGGCATTTGGCCATGCTTCCTGTGAGGTGACCACACTGTGAGCATATCATTTCTCTCCACCAATCAGAAGACAGCCAAAATAATTGCTCTTGGGGCTGGCCGGCTCAGAGGGGATTACAGGCTGGGGACTGTGGTGGGTGTAGGATCATCTGATGTTCAATGACAGCAGTGGAGCAAAGTGGATTTGCAACAGCTATGAGTTGCACTTAAAAATACTCCTTTTTTTATTTTTTCCCCTGTGTGAAATTAAGGTAAAGCACTTCTACAGCCTCCCATTGCTTTGTTGACAGCAGCAGTGTCTCTAATGCTCCCTCTAATGCTGCCCCATTTACAAATTGCAAGTACAATGCGAGAGTCATCCAGACTGTTATCACAAGGATGGAGAGCTCTCCAGCTTCAGCGAGCCTTAGGATTTTAAGCCCTGAAAGAGCAGCTTGACACCCAGTGACCTGCCTTGTAATGTTCCTAATCCACCTCTTTATAAATACAGGCTCTGAGCGGGGCAGAGGGGGAGTGCAGCTGGGAGGATCTCGCAGCCTCGCGCGCTGCTTGCGGGAAGCAGATGAAGGTGCTCACAGGCTAAGTGGATTAAGCCCGGGTAACGTCAGTTCAAAAATAGGAGGCACAGCCTGACATAAAGGGCTGGGGAAGCGAGGTTATCTCACAGCGACCAGGAGGATGGTGTGCTGGAGGTGCCCAGGGGACGCCTTTCCTTCAGGACACAGCTCTTCCTGGCACTGAGCAGGATCCTCCGCAGTGTGCTCCCTGTCCTGTCCTTCTCCTTGCCCTCATTAAGCACTGCCAAGCACCTGGGCTTGGTCGGGAATGGGTCAGTGTGTGTGCCTGGCCATACGGGATGCCAGACCTTCCTCAGAGCAAGGCAGAGCATGGAGCTGAAAATAAGATTTAGAAACAATAATAATAAAAAAAAAAAGAATAATAATATTAATTAAATCTCCATTAGAATAAAAATTTAAAATAAGGCTTAAAAACATGATTTAAATAATAGGAATTATGAAACCTTCCTTATGCCTCCCCAAACTTTTTATTTCTCCTTTTCTTGATGCACAGACTGATGCCCTCCAGGACAGCAGCTGTTTGTACCTTGTATTTCCTGATTGAAAGAGCATCTCCAGGGCTTTGCTAACCACAGCAATACCTAAGTCCACAGCTCCTACTTCTCCAGAAAACCTGACATTATCAGACTGTTCCTTTTCCCTTTTGCCCCATTTGTTTTCTACACGCACACTGGTGTTAAACCTGTTTTAAACGAGTGGTTGCCCTTGTAATCTGAAGCATGTGTTGATTTCATATTTGCCAACTCAAAAGCAGCTGAGTGGGCTTTTGACCAAATATTAAAGAAATGAAACCTCTTTGATCCAATAATGGTGTCAGTAATTTTAAGGTTGCAATAGTAAGCAAGGAGGATGCATAAATTAATGCACAATGTGCAGGGCAGTGACTCTTTCAGGCTCTTTATCTTATCATGCTAATAAGTATATCTTGCTTTGCATTTTTTTTTTTTTCTTCTAGATTTAAATACACAGAAGAGCCCTGTTTGGTTTCACATACATAGGGCTTGTGCTGTCAAATGACATCTACAACCTCGCATCTGCCTCTTGGCCCCCAGGAAAAGTTTGCTTTTTCTTTTTGTCCTAACGCTGCAGGAGTTAACAGCTTAGGGGATGGAAACGGGTCTGAGAGTCTCCAGGAAGATAATGCTTGGGAAGACAGGTTTAAGCTAAATAACAAAGCAGATTTCATCAGCCTTCTTGGAAACAAACTGACCGGAGACTTTGTGATCCATTTCTAAATTTGGCCTTTGCATTTTCCATGTACAGGAAGTGACGAAAACAGTGGCAGTGAGCTCTGGTGAATCTGGAAACGCACATTAGGGGCTGAAAGCCTTTGTCTGTTAGAGGTCCGAGGCAAGCAAGTTGGGTGTTGTAAACATGATTCACAACAAGTTTAATTTAGACAACAAGCATGGGAAACAGCAGAAGGTCACAGTTCTTTCCTCAAAGTTTTGGCAACCAAAGACTTTTCCGAAAGATGTGAATGTGCTGCACTGACGCAAATATAAATGGAGTTTTTATACTGATTTCTGTTTCCTAAAATGCACCATTTTTGGGTGATGTTAAAATAGCCTGCAGAGAAAAAACCCTGACCTAACGCATGAGCACATTAATTTGTGGCATGCCAAGCTGCAACTGATGAAAATAAAAGATGTTGTGAGCATATGATAAAACTCCTACAGTCGATTTGGTCCTGCCCCAACAATGACAAATTTACTCCTGGATGAATCAGACTAAATGTGTCAGACACTTAAGTACCCACCTGCCAATGCAGAACCTGCCTGTTTCTCAGGCTTTTGTACGTGTGCCTTGTATTTGAGCGAGCACAGTTGTGGATGGAGCAATTTGTTCCAGAAGCTCATTATCGGAGCTTTGCCTCACTGTGGATGCTATGTGGAGCTTCAGATTTTGACTCAAGCAAGTTTCTTCCTACGCCAGATTATATGGTGGACAAATGGTCCTCATGAGTTGATAGCTATGAGCACAGTGCTCTTGAAGAGAAGGTTGTGAAACCACTTCTGCACAGAAGACAACAAAATCAGGCTGTGGGCACAGATTTAATGTTTTGTTTATGGGGTACACTTCTGGGAA